GAACCTCATGAGGTTCACATGGGCCCATTCTAGTTAGTTATAATACTTCCTGTTCTGTTTTTTTCCATCCCAGTTAGAGCATCAATGTACAGAACTTCTCGGTGGCAAAGAAGAAACCAAAGTAGAGAACACCAAGCTGAAGCTAACTAACCAGGAGCTGCTGAGAGACCTGGAGAGAACATCTCATGAGCTAAGTCTGGCTCAACAACAGTTACAGGTGCTTCAGGAGGAGGCATCAAGACTACATGAGGAGAAGGAAATGTAAGTCTCCAGCTGCAGTGGTACTAGTGCATTTGCTTAGTGTATCCGTGAGCCTCCTTCTCAGGGTATTCAGTGCTGTGTTTTATGTTTGTGTCATAAGCAGAAACTACCAGCAAAGCCAAGTGTAGTTCTAGTTATTTTTCTCCAAGTAATTCAGCATGTTTTCTGTAGCATATCTGGCTTCTACAGTCAGTGTTCTCCCACCTTCCACCCCCCATTCGATGAGAGTGTTTGGAAGTAAAAATCAGTTTAATTCATTAAAAAGTATGCCTTAGTTTTGAAATATCAGTGGGATGCCTTACAGAAATTACAGTTGTGGCACATGATGCTCCATCCTTCTGAAAGCTAAGTCTATCTGAAACTTGTTTCTCAGAATGTACTCTGGCTATGAGACAGCTAGGATGTGCTGCTTTTCCTCATCAAAAGTAAGTCTAGTACCTATTTTCTGACCAAGAAGGTTGGCCAGCAAGATAAAATATACCTTATGCAGCTGAATCACAATTACAGAAGGCATTATGGTGATCCAGAACCATCATTTAGGGGTTTGCAGTTCAAATGTTTCCAGTCAGATTCTGTCTCTGAATGAAAGAATACTTTTCAAGAAGAAATATTTACAATTCATATTTTGAGCGATGGAAATGGCTTTTAAGTGACAGATCAATCTACCTGTATTGCTCCAGCCTTCTGCACAAAGTAAAAGTTATATTACCCTGAAGCTGTAATTGGCAGAAATGGTCCCTGAAATCCGTTCAAAGGAAGATAGTTTTAAAAAAACACTCAGAAATCTGTAAAACCCTCTTGTTGCCAATGGAGAGCACATGGATGCCAGACTGTGGTGCACATCTTGCCAGAGTCTATACATATCAGCAATGAACTACGTAACTCAGAGCTGTGGCTGTTTGGCATATTGCAGGATAGAGCAGAATATTAGATCAAATGTCATATTCTTTTTAGGTTAAGCTTTGTGCCAAACTCTACTTAGTTATTACTAATTTAATTTTTCTTGAGGATATAAATAATGAACTTTGTTGATAAATGATTGTTAAAGAACAGCCACTGCATTTAGAGTACTAATTTTAGGTTTGCATGTTTGATGTCTGTTTTGGAAATAGGCAGTAGAAATATTCCTCCTCAAGGTGGTTTGTTTCCTCTTTGAGGCCTCTCTTTTCAGATCCAGAGCAAAGACTGTGGAGTGATCTGGTTTTAAAGCTACAGAGGAAATCTGCCCAGTGGTCAGGCTGCTGAATAGTACTACTGCATTTACAAAGCACTTTGGATTCAATAGTGTTTTATGGAATTACAGCTCAGCCCTACTCAACTGCACCTGCAGTGTTGCTTTAAACATCTGTATCAGTCTGGTAAGACCTGAGCTGTTGAAGCAGGTGTAATGTTCAGACTGCACAGGAAGAACTTGAGGCTTCACTGAAAGGCAAAAAACATTTAAGGCCAGATGCTGATTTGCATTAAGTCAAAGTAAGTGGTTTAAATCTAGTGTAAAAATCTGAGACACCGTGTCCAATGTTTAAGGCTGCATAACTGTTAAAGTCAGGAACTGAAAAGAAATTGTAGGGAGTGTAGATCTGCAAGCCTGACATGGTTTCAGCAGCAAGATAAACTCTAATTTTGGATAAATGTTACATGGTCTTTAGTGACCATGAGTGAGAAGGATTTCAGCAGTATGTCCTCTCTGAATGATGCGAGTGCTGGTATCAGTACATAGTTAGCTCTCTGGATGAAGAAATGATAAAGCTATAGTTTTTTTTAAAAGTACCTCTACACTTTCCTCTGCTAACTCAAACTGCTGTGGTACTGTCCGCCTTATACTGAATAAACTTTTTTAAAATTAGTAACCATTCATGCAGAATAAAGTCTACAACTTTGGAGAAGCTGAAGTCTCAAATGTGGATACTCCTGGGGGGAGCATTTTAGCACTGTTGTTACCATGGTTAGAACAATTTTATTTATTTCTTTTCATTGCAGGGAAGTGTACCATGTGACAGAAACTTTACAGAGAGAGAAGTCAGGACTTCTGAAGCAGCTGGATTTTTTAAGGTAATGCAGACCTTACATTCAAGAACTTCTTGCATCATTCTAAAGAGGTACATTAAAGGATGGAATTATGTTGGGATATGTACTGGGTGTAGGTGTCCAGGTGTTGGCAGCAGGGCACCGCAGGGGTGGTCTCTCTGCCAGAGAGGAGAGGCCTGGGCTGCCACATGCTAGACACTGCTGATTCCAGCCAGCTCCAGCAGACCCACTGCAGGGCACAGATGAGGCCCTCAGCCAAGATGGTGGCATCTCTGGGAAAGTGTGTGTAACACTAAGACAGCTGTTAAGAAGGGGCCAATCAAGAAGGCTGTCAGTTTAGTTGCTGTAGAGACACAAGAAGGAAATCGGCAATCTCGCAGACATAGAAGAACTGGAATCACCTCCCTTGATCCTGGTGAGGGGACTTGTCTGGCACTGCGAAGGTCAGGCAGTGAATACTCTTGACGAGGAATGGGAATAGAGGGTCCCTGCCGTCGGCCAGGAGGAGGAAAGGGATGACCGGGTATACTGGACTGTGTGGATTTGATGGCCTGGCACATCAGACCCACAGAAGTACAAGGCTTTGGTAGACACTGGTGCACAGTGTACGCTGGTGCCATCAGGGCATCGGGCACAGAACCCCTCTGGATCTCTGGAGTGACAGGGGGATGCCAAGAATTGTCTGTACTGGAGGCTGAGGTGAGCTTACAGGGGAAAAGTGGGAAAAGCACCTCATTGTGACCAGCCCAGAGGCCCCTTGTATCCTTGGCATAGACTACCTCAGGAGAGGGTATTTCAAGGACCCAAAGGGGTACCAATGGGCTTTTGGTGTAGCTACTGTGAATGCAGAAAAGATCAGACAGCTGTCAACCGTGCCTGGCCTCTTGGAAGATCCCTTCACTGTGGGACCTTAGCGTCAAACTCTGCAGCAGGTGAGAGAGAGAACTAAGAAAAATATGTGTGAGAAACAGCCCTGCAGACACAGTGTAAAAGGATGGGGAGGAGGCGCTCCAGGCGGTGGAGCAGAGATTCCCCTTCAGCCTGTGCAGAGCCCACACAGGAGCAAGCTCGTGGCAGGAGCTACAGCCCATGGAGTGGAGCCCATGCAGGAGCAGGTTTTCTGGCAGGAACTGCAGCCCATGGGGGACTCACACTGGAGCAGTTTGTTCCTGAAAGACTGTGCCCCATGGAAAGGATTCATGCTGGAGCAGTTTGTGAAGGACTGTAACCTGTGGAAGGGAATCTACGCTGGAGCAAGGGAAAAGCATGAGGAGGAAGGAGCAGGAGAGAGGAGCTGTTATGGATGGATCACAACCCCCCTAGATCCCCAATCCCCCTGCACCACTCAGTGCTGGGAACGAAATAGAAGAGTTGAGAGTGCAGGAGTGAAGTTGAGCCTGGGAAGAAGGGAAGGTGGGAAGAAGGTGATTTTAGTTTTGTCTTTGTTTCTCATCGTCCTACAGCTGAGTCTGTTTTGTCTGTGATGGTAGCTGGTAAGCAATTTTCCTGTCTTAATCTTGGCCCACAAGCTTTTCCATCTTATTTTCTTCCCCTGTCCTGTTGAGGAGGGGGAGTGAGAGAGCAGCTGGGTGTGCATCTGGCAGCCAGCCAAGGTCAACCTGCCACATGATAATGACACAAAACCCATTCTTGCACACAGTAGAAGGCAGTACACATGAAAGATTTGCTTTGTTTTGGCAAAATGTTTATTTGTAAAATTATATCAAAACATAGTTAGCAAATTTTCTCTAACATTTCTGTATTGATAGACTTCAAAGTTTGGAGTTGTGTTCAGACAATTGTAACCCTCTTTTTGATGTGCAGCAATGTTTTTGTGCTCAATGCTAAGTTTGCATGAGATATGACCTCAGTTTTATTTGTGTTCTTTGCAGGGAGAGGAACAAACATCTCAAAGATGAACGTGACATATTTTTACAGGTAAACAACTATTATTTTCAAACCCAGTGTTGAGCAAACACATAAAAGAACAGCCTCAAAAGAAAGGGATCAGAAGGCTGTGCAGGAGACAGGCTCTTATGCTACTTAAATCTTGCCCCATTCTTAATTTATATTGTCTTTTTTTCTCACTTGAGAATAAGATTTTTTAATTTGCTGAACAATTTTAAGAGCTACGTTTTTAGAATTATAAAGTGATCTATTTTGAGGGAGATGAATGTATTTTACAAGAAGCTAAGGATGCAATCATGAGAGGATGAAATAACCTAAAAATTGAACAATTAAATTGTGTTAATGTAGTTGGTGAAGAGTAGCTAATATCCTGAAACGTTTGTACGATTATACGATATCTGAGTATCTGAATCAGTACCTGAATACCTGTTGGTACTGGGTAAAAGCAGATCACATTAACTTTTTACCTAACAGCAGAAAATGGGCCCCTAAGAAGTTCCAGAAGTACCCTGGCTTAAGGAGACTAAAGGCCACTTAGTTTACACTTGTTTGTGTTCTTATTCCTACAAGAAGCTGCTAGTGTAAATCACCATGTATCTGTTGACTTCTTTTCATGACATTATGCTGTTTTATTGTGGTCCACTTAATTTACAAAGATGAATTCTTACAGGATTTGAAGTTTCCACGTTCTGATTGTTTATCAATCAGGATTTTGAAGCATTTATACCGCTAGGATTTTTTCTACAATTTTTTTCTTTCATATTCATTGCATTATTTAAGCATTAGGAATGAAGACAGTTAACCATAATGAACAACAGGAATAAATTAGTAAGAAGTATTCTGTGTTTTTGCAGAAATGCAAAACAAGTGTTTCAAAAGCCAGCTGGAAGCAAAGATCAGGGTCTGTCATTGAGAAATACATAGAGGGCAAGATGCTGCCTAACAGGTAAGAACTTTTTTTCATGTGTTCCCTGTTTGAGTACAATGAACTTATAGAAAAAATGTGTGGAATGTTTTCTTTCAGATACCTTTGGACTTTTCAAAGCATGTATTTCTGAAGTGTCTGTCACTATATGATTACTGTGCCTTTTAAGAAATTTGGAAATAAAGCAGCAAATTTTCACATAAAACAAGTGTACCATCTGCAAAGGCAAGATATTTCCCCATTGTGGATGAGTATATGCTGGGAGGCACAAAAGCTTGCCCGTTACCCTGTGTTGATGTGGTACACCTTGGTAACTCCCTGAAAGAGTAACACCCTGAAAGAGTCCTCCTCCCCTCTCATTGTAGAGGACAGCAGTCCTGTTGTAAAGTATGGGATGTGTCACTAGTAAAACGTGGAGAATTTAATTCTCAGCTGTGTAGCTGTAAACTGAAGTCAACAGGAACAAAATGGTGAGCTCAGTGAAACATTAGCATGTTTCCATTGAGACAAGAGGAGCTAGAAAGAAGACTAATATTTCACTTTGAAATACCAGCTAAGGCGATGTCCCTGCAGGCACAGGGTCTTGAAGTGTAAGGAGGGAAAGCTTTCAGAGACACAGTTTAGTAAATTCAGTACTGAGAAGTGGAGCATAATTCACAAAAGCAATTATGATGCAAAAATCATAGAAAAGTCTAGGTGGGAAGGACCTCTGTCTCTAGTTCAATCTCCTGCTCAAACAGAGATAACTCCAAAACTAGATAAAGTTACTCAGGGCCTTCCTTGTTCAGTTGAGTTTTTGAACATCTGATGGAAGTCTTACTCTCTTACTCTAAGATAAGTCTTACTTATCTCTGAGGGCACCTATTCCTTTTCTGCACCAGTCTCATGAAGAAATTTTGTTCCTTGTATGAAGTCAGCATTTCTCCTGTGGGAACTTGCATCTGTGGTCATTGCACACATCTGAGAAGACTCTGGATCTGTTTTATCTACATTCTCCCTTCTGTTAAATCCCCACTTAGCCTTTTTTTCATCCATGTTAAACAAACCCATCTCCCTTCTACCTCCTAAAGAGAGAATTAGATTAATCATAGAAGGGGACTGGGTTGGGGGTTTGTGTTCTTCCAGAATAGAGGGGGGTGGGGAGTAGGAAGTCACAGGTGAGAAATTTATTTAAGCTACTCCATGAGGTTAGAAATGAGGCTAATCTTATGTTTTGTATTCTGGTTCAGGATTTCCCCATAAGTTATTAGCTTTCATCATGATGCTTATAATCATCAAGCATGATATATATATACACACACACACACATTGTATGATGAGCTGACTGGACTGAATCTACTATGCCTGCTGTGAGTAGTAAAAACATGGGAGATTAAAATCAGTTAAACTAGAATAAAACAATGGGAATCCAGTCCAACACATTTTCGTCATGTACTTACTTTTTTCTCTGTCTAGACATTCATTTGAAGAGGATGGTGTTTACAATAACTCAAAGAGAAGGAATTCTGCTGGACTGAATGGAATTCTCTCTGTAGAGCCTGATGCTGGAGCCACTGGAGGAATGTCTAAAGCATCACGTCTCCAAAGAATAATATCAATTGAGGAAGATCACCTACCCCAGCTTCTTGACAGGCTGGTTGATAAGCAGCTGAACAGATGGACCGGAGAAGATGAGAATATTTCTTCTGAGATGGAAATGGAAAAGAAAAACACAGAACAACCAATGGAACACTCATCATCATCTTCTAGAGAGCAGCCTGTAGAGAAGGAAACACCATCAAATGTAAGGGGGCAAAGGGACTTCCTCCTGAGTATTGTGTGCAGTTCTGGGCCCCACAATTTAAGAAGGATGTTAAGGTACTTGAATGCGTTGAGAGGAGGGCAGCAAAGCTGGTGGAAGGCCTGGAAGGAATGTCCTGTGAGGAGTGGCTACAGGCTCTGGGTTTGTCTAGTTTGGAGAAAAGGAGGCTGAGGGGCAACCTCATTGCTCTCTCCAGCTTCCTGAGGAGGGGAAGTGGAGAGGGAGGTGCTGATCTCTTCTCCCTGGTATGCAATGATAGAACATGTGGGAGTGGTTCAAAGCTGCTTCAGGGGAGGTTCAGACTTGACTTTAGGAAACATTTCTTTACCAGGAGGGTGGTCAGACACCAGAACAGACTTCCTAGAGAGGTGGTCGATGTCCCCTGCCTGTCAGTGTTGAAGAGGCATTCGGACAATGCCCTTAATAATTTGCTTTAACTTTTGGTCACCCCTGAAGCGGTCAGGCAGTTGGACTAGATGATTGTTGTAGGTCTCTTCCAGCTGGAACTATTCTATTCTATTCTATTCTATTCTATTCTATTCTATTCTATTCTATTCTATTCGGACCTTGGAAAACACAAAATGGTGTTGAAGGGCAATGTGTTGTTCTTAAAATCCAGAATTATTTAGTTTTCTGTTTTTAAATTAAAGCACGAAAATTAAGCCATTACATGAAGAGGGAGATGGAAATATACTGCAGATAAATGTTGAAGGTGCAAAGACGTGTAACTCAACCTAAAGGAGTGGTAACTGCAGACAATGAGTACATAGACTTATGTCTGAAAGACAGGAAAAGTAAAGATAAGCCTTGTAATAGATGACACAAGAAGATCCACTGAAAGGTAGCAATTGTCTAAAAAAAGAAGCAACTCTTCTTCAACTTCCAAAGAAGTTGGGGTTTTTTTTGCCAAAAAGTGACATTTATCATATTCTGATACTTTTGAGTCGCCTTTGGTAGCTGTAACATAAGCTATCAGAGAAATAATGAGAGCAAATATCTTTACTTATTATTTTTTGAAAGGACTTTTATTTTGCAAATTGAAATAAAGATTATATTTTTTTAGCTCTAGCTCTAGCTTGTATGTGCTTGTTAACAATTAATTCACCATGCAGCAATAATTCTTAAAATAACATGCTGGAAGGTACATTGCTTCGGAGTCTAAAGTCCTTGTTGCACTGCTATTGCTTCAGAACTGGCTGTGCTTTGTTTTCTAATTTTAGTATCATTGTTAGGTATTACTCATTTTTATATTCTTGAAGCACATATGAAAAAGATTAAAGTATAGGAAAAATAGGTATACTTGGTCATAATTATATAGTTATTTTAGAAGAAGCAAGCATATCTTAAAAATGATGATAGAATTATGCCATGGTTACATAATAACTTTTAAGTGGTACATTTTAATAAAACGTCTAGGGCACAGAACAGAGCTTCATCCTTTGAAATTATTTAATACAATAAATAATTTTTGCTTGCTATATGACTTATTTTATATCACATTTTCAAAATATGGCATCATTGGACATCATTGGACTTCAGGACAGCAAGAGCCAGGTAGGTCATCAGGTTCAGCTAGGACAAACCTGTCCTGCCTGCTCTATTTTGGCAGTCATGCCCCTTGAAAGTACATCCTCTCAGCTGGGTAGCAACTGGGCATTCCTTCAGATCTTCTTTCTTACAAATTTTTTTTTTCCTATAAACAATTGACAGCAAGCATGGAGCGGGGGGAAGAAATCATAAAATGTCACCTGTTTGGTTGTTGAGTACATTTTATTTCAGTTTCTAAAGAAACATCTTGAGGGTAAATAAAAAGTTCATTTCTGAAGGTCACTTAGAATTGGGAATTCCTTTTTTTTTCTATGAAATGTCAGTGCCTTAGCCTAGCCCTTAGTTTGAGTGGGGTTTTTGCTTTTTTTTTTAAATTTAGTTCAAAAAACCATAGCAGAATACTTCTTTCTGATAAACTCTCTATCCATGTGACACTGAAATATGTACATGGTCCTGCATGGTCCTATTGGCCTGCTGACTAAGCCTGAAAATGACTATTCAATTGATGGCATTCCATTGCTTAGGGCAGTCTCTAGGCTGTCGAAGTGTCTGACCATTGCTGCTTTGTGTGAGCAGCTGAGTATACAGAGTATACACCAGCTGTAGTCTGATGAATTTCTCATACAACTTTGTGTTTCTTAAATGATGGCTCTTGGGATCACCACTTTTTGACAATGAGACATCAGAAGTAGGCAAGTAGAACCAATGTAAATTTTTTTTCCTTTTAGAAATGAACAAGTCCATTTCCATCCTGTGGAAGGTGACTTCTGAAAGTGCTTGCAGCAGTACATGAGGCCAGGCAACTGCTCTTTAGTTAACAGTCAGGTAGAACATTTTTCTGAGTGGCTATGAAGGTGAAGCTGCAGTTAGCATAAGCAGAAATGTGATTGAAAAAACACCTGAAGGAACCATAATGGAAATTTAAAGCAAGATTTTCTGTCCAAAAACTCTGCCTGAAATGCAATTCCTCTCCCCTCTCTTCTGTCAATATGGAGTATGAACCACTATGTTTATACTTACCATCTTCCACATTTTTGTTGAATTGCACAAAAGGTAGGTATGTTACTTGACCTGGCTACTGTTTATATGAAGTCCACTCAAAAGACACATCTAGGAGAGACTTTTTCAGACTGCATTGTAAACTAAAGTAAATTTACATCCCACTGCACTTCCATTATCCCATCAGCACTTTGAAGCAGACTATGAAGCAACTTGTCTCAGTATGGTGTTCAGATGCAGTTTTAGAATCAAATTTTATTATTAAGGTTATTTTCATGAGTAGACTTGATACATCTCAATGAAAAATGACTGCCTATTATGTTGGGAGTTGAGCTGAAGCCTCTGATGCCTTTGAGTCTTAGTGCTACTGAGGTGTGTATGACCACCAGGGACAAGGTATTTCAGGTCATGTAGTCCATGTATTTAGTTATTGTTCTCAGAAGCACTGTGAAAGTGGTGCCAAGCTGATGATTGTATGTTAACTTGTTTTATTTCCCAGAACACGCAGACTAATAAGCTGGGAATGTTTTTCAACAGAAATGAAAATGTGCTTTATATAGATGTATGTGTATATCTAGCAGCCTATAGTTGCAGTGGAGCTTGGGTTTTTAATAGAAAAGGAGACGTGAACAATGAGATAAGAAATCTCTGTATAGTTGTAATGGGCTATTAGCCCAGCTCATGAGAGAGACATGTATTTTTGTCCCCAAAATTTACAGCAGTGAATGATTTTTTTTCATGCTAAGGAAGACAACAGCTTGAGTTTTGTTCTGTGTTTTTTTTCTCCATCAGAGAAAAACTTTTAAAATTTTTCATTTCAAAATTTTCATTTCTCAATACAGAGTGCAGCTCTGTATTGTTTCTGCTTCTTCCTGTAAGGCTTCAATGTATTTGTAGAAAACATTTACAAGGTCAGACTTCAATGTCCTATTCAAAGGACTGTCTGGCAGTGAGTTCAATTATGATGTCTTCTTGAAGTCAGCAGTCTCAGGGGTTCTGCACCTGAAATGCCTGGCAGAGGGCCTTTCCCTCCATCCCCTCCTCTTTCCTTCTCTCTTCTCCATCCTCACAAAACTCACCGTAACAAACTAATGCCAGGAGCATTCATGATCTTGTTCCCCTTCTGCAACATTAAGAACAAACTGGCTACCTCCCTCTTCCTCCCCAACCTTTGCACAAAATATTAGAAGAGGCCAGTTAGGGCACCCGCTGCAAACCAGCTGGTGATAGTGTTCTTCCCTAAGCTGCTCCTGATCTACACACAAAGTCTTGGGAATAATGACCTACTTGGCAGAGGATATAAATATTCTCTCCAGCATCCACTTAGCTTAGCCTGCAGTAAACAGGACATGGATAGGCAGAACAAATTGTTCTTTTTTCTGCTTAAAAATCTAAATGACAGAAACATAAGTGAATGTTTAAAGCCTGATTAACTGGGTCTAATTCTCTATGTCTCTTTCTCCCATGCTTCTGCCTGTAATGGTAAACAGATGTAGAAGTGCCATAATTCCATGGAAGCTCATGGCTCCACAATAGTAGCAGAGAGAAGAATCTGGTGATAGATGGCATAAGCCAAAAAATTATGACTTTGCTTCTCTCATCTAGGTGATGTGCTGTTTCCTCTGTGTCATTGGTACAGGATGAAACTACTGAGCAGAGCTATGTGAAGCTTTATGGAATTGCAGGGATGAACATAAACATAACATAAATATAAACATGAACATAAACTGTTTTCTTTTGGCAATTTCAGGCATTTTTCTATGCCATCTCAAGTCAAGTTTCATATTGAGTATACTTCTAGAGCTTAGTCCAAATCACTGCACTTTAAATGATCTGGAACGGTGCGTGGCAAACATATGAAATGCTGAGTTCAAGAGTGTGACCAGCAGGTTGCGAGAGGTTATCCTCTCCCTCTGCTCTGCACTGGTGAGACCTCATCTGGAGTATTGTGTCCAGTTCTGGGCTCCCCAGTTCAAGAGAGACAGGGAACTTTTGGAGAGAGTCCAGTGGAGGGCTAGGAGGATGATAAGGGACTTGAACATCTCTCATGTGAGGAAAGGCTGAAAGACCTGGACCTGTTTAGTCTGGAGAAGGCTGAGAGGGGACCTTATCAATGTCTATAAATATCTGAAGGGTGGCTGTCAGGAGGATGGAGCCAGTCTCTTTTCAGTAGTGCCCAGTGATAGGACAAGGGGCAATGGGCATAAACTGCAGCACAGGAAGTTCCACCTCAACATGAGGAAAAGCTTCTTTACTGTGAGGGTGATGGAGCACTGGAACTGGAGCTGCCCAGAAAGGTTGTGGAGTCTCCTTCTCTGCAGACCTTCAAAACCCGACTGGACACGTTCCTGTGCAACCTGCCCTAAGTGATCCTGCCTTGGCAGGGGGGTTGGACCAGGTGATTTTCAGAGGTTCCTTCCAACCCCTGCCATTCTGTGATTCTGTGAGTTATTTTAAGAAATGGAATATTGCTTTATGAGTAATGGAGAGTATGATAGGATAAAATCTCTTCTTTTTCCCATCTCAGTTAGCCTTCAAGTCAAGGCAAATTGAAGAGGCAACAGGATTTATAGAACAGTTGGAGACTAATGTTTGCTCTTACTTGAAGGAGGAGAGAATAAACTCTGTCCCAGACTGCTTATTCAAGATCGTTTTTGTGGGCAATTCAAGTGTTGGAAAGACTTCATTCTTAAGGCGATTCTGTGAAGACCATTTTTTCCCAAGCACAGCTGCTACTGTAGGTAAGTCTAAGAAAAATTATTACTAGTACTACTTTTGTTCTGACAATACTTGGTAGCTTCTACTGAGATCAAGCCCTGTGTTGTAAAACAGGAACATATAGAAGTTGTAAAAGCCATTATCCAAAAGGACAGTAGGACATACAAAGTGAGTTCTGCTAAACTGGGCAGCAGATAATTCATAGAGAGGTTTCAGAGTAGATTCCATACTGAAATCCTGGCAGTACTGAAATAAATCAGAAAAATCCTATTGATTTCAGTGAAGCTAGAATTTCCTTGTAGATCTCACTGTCCTGAAACTGATATCCTGTCTTCTGGACTGCACCTCTGTAGTAACCATCCCACCTCCATACTCCATCTCTATCCCTCTGGTTTGTTTTAAAGAGAAAGTAGAATATCTGAATTATGTTTGAGGATTTAGCATTACACTAAGCACCAAAGAGATGTTAGACCAATGTTTTCAAAGTCAAACATTTCAAAGCTACATTGTACTTACATTGCCTGAAGTTATAACCAAACTTTCAAGTGTCAGACATGTAATCAAGGTACAAAAACTCAAGTATAGTTTATTGCAATGCAGCTGAATTACTGTAAATGACCAGATTCATTATACTTGGTGTGTACTTAGACCTTAATTATTCTGCAGCATATATGAAATAGAACTTGTTCACAATAAAAGGTATTTAAATTAATGGATTTGTCTTGCATTTGTGACAACGTAAGAACATTCAGGTGAGCAGTTGCTGTAGCTCCCTTGACTTACAGGGTAGATAAAGACACCTGAGTTGAATTTTCTACTGGTATGTTGAGTGTCTAAGTTCACATTAGAGTTAGGGAAGATCTAATATCTTAGCACAAGGATTTAAATTCATTTTGGCATTGTAAGGTATTTCACCTGGTCTTCAGCTGCTGCTTTGGAAGAGAGCAGGCCTTCTGGGCGTCCTGCCAGATTGAAACAGACATACTGAATACCAAATGGCATCTCAGCACTAGATGCCTGTGAGCAAACAGCTGAATTCTACCCCACCATTCTTTCCAAATGAATCTGGTTAAAGGAGCCTAGGGACCAAATAATCTGACCCTTGATGCCTACTTCAGGGTGAACTTAGTAATTTCCTAGACTCCTGATTCTTCATTGACTTGATCTTCATTAACTGGGAGCTTAGACACCTATATGCAATTGTCTACATTTAAGAGTCTGGTGCTATGTCTTATCCATGTTGTCTTATAAATGGCTGATACACTTCTCTAGACTCTGAGGTCTTACACAGCATGTGCAATTACCTGGAGCTTCCCGAGGAAAGGCACAGGAATGCGTCTGACCTTTTCATCTTTTGGCTGGTCATCCAGTGTTCTTGCAAATGCAATGGCAAGAAAGTATTTGTCATAGCTTTGATTTAGTCTCCACATCAATGAGTTTCACAGGTGTGGACTGTGTCTGGCAAGAATCAGACAGTGGAAAACTCAAGTGAACAACCTGGAGAAGAGTGTTTTCATTGAATTTCTACAAAATAGCTCAAATTTCTTCCCTTGAGATATAAGCAATGCATATATCCTCCATCCAGATTTCCTAATTGCCCATTGAAAGAATGCAGGCTTGGATGCTTCTTTATTAATGCCAGTGGTAAAAATCCCATTGATGTGGAAAAATGGCCCCAAATGAATTGTTGATGACCTACTGAGGTCCCTTCCAACCTGAATTATTCTAGGATTTTGTGATTCTACAATACAGTACAGTGTGATACAAGAAAATATAGGTTATCATTAGGAGGAGGCAGTGACTGATTAATATTCAAGACTAATTGTTGTTATAAATATCGGGAAGATACATATATCATCACAGGTTAGGGTAACTGAGAGAGGATTCATTTAAAGCTTTAGATAAATTAATTTTTGTCTCACTTCCATTTAGCTGCATAAAAATTAGGGACTAACCTAACTGTAGTCAGCTCATCTTCCTTATTCTGAAGAGGGGAGGAGGTTCTCCACATATTCAGTCCACCTATCTTCAACATCCCCTTAGGGTGGTGCCTTGTCTTTTTCCACTAAATTTAGAAGGTGCTATGTGGCTAGCTCAGACGAAACACTGAAATTTCAGCCAAATGAAGTTACACAGCATGAATTCCAGGCTGAGTGGCTTAGACTGCTGTGGACTGTCATCAGATGGACCCTTAACTCATGTATCCTGATTTGTAAAGTTACTTATCTTACAGCTTTTACAAAAACTGTAAGATAAGCTCTGTTAACATTTTATTACTGAAGAACTTCTGGCAAATAAAAGCTTTTGTTGTTCTCTGATAGTTACAGACTAGGGACATAATTTTAATGTAGTATCTATCTTGTGACCTTTCTGGAATTGTTGCTATTTGCTGGATCAGGTTTTCAAAAATCAAACTGAGCATATGAAAATACAACCTTGTATCTCTTTTATAGGTGTGGATTACAATGTGAAAACCATCACAATAGATAATACCCAGGTAGCCCTGCAGCTCTGGGACACTGCTGGCCAGGAACGGTGAGAAACATTCTGTTGTGGTTTAATCCTGGTAGTCAGCTAAGCACCACACAGCTGCTCACTCACTCCCCCATCCAGTAGGATTGGGGGAGAGAATCAGAAGGGTGAAAGTGAGAAAACTCATTGGTTGGAATAAAGACAGTTTAATAATTAAAAAAAAAAATCAAACACACCACCACCAAAAAAAAAACCAAAAACCCAGAGAGGAAGTGAAACAAAACCAAGAAAAACAAGTCATGCAAAAAACCCCAGTTGCTCACCACCAACAAATCGGTGCCCAGACACTCCTTGAGCAACTGCAGCCTCAGCCAATCTCTCTCCCTGCTGCAGTTTTATTGCTGAGCTCAACATCATATGGTATGGAATATCTATTTGGTCAGCTGGGGTCAGCTGTCCCAGGTGTGTTCCCCTCCCAACTTCTTGTGTACGGCAGCCTACTCACTGGCAGGGCAGTCTAAGCAGCAGAAAAGGCGCTCTGTAAACACTGTTAAGCAATAACTAAAACGGTGTCTTACTGACACTGTTTTCACCACAAATCCAAAACATAGCCACATACAAGCTAGTATGATGAAATTTAACTCTATCCCAGCCAAAACCACTACACATTCTAAGGTTTTGCTTCCTTCAATCATCTGTTTGAAGATTAGTAAGCATGGACCTAACCCTGCTGCTCAGGAGAGGAACAAATATAGGAGTATTCCTAATAGAGCCAGTGAATTCACAGTTTAGATCCTTCTCTAGCAGCAATAATGTGCTGATGTGGTGCTAGGTGTCCATTGAAAAACTGACATTCTGTAAAAGAGGTTCTTATTAAAGCTCTTAAAAGTTTAGTACCACACTATTTCTTTAGGAGGAAGGCTGATTTTAAGATGTACCTAGAATTATTTCTATGGCAGAAAATGCCTTAATAGTTTAAAAAAAGAGTTTGTTTTTTCTTCACCAAAATAATCCCATTGTACTTGGAAGTTCTCCAAGTTTTTGTAAGTTTTCAGTGGCAATTTTCTTCCCCATCTCCTCACCTGTTATGTAGTTTTCTATTACTAAAAGCAAGGATGATAATAATGTTCTATATTTTCTTCAGGAAGCTTCGGAAAAAAGCCCCAGACAGAAATCTAGCTAGCTTTAGGCAGAACGCTTTGTGAGGGGGAAATTTCTGCTCCAAGTTTAGAAGGAAAGAGGATGGGAGAAGGTGGGATATGCAGCTGATTATCCAGGCTAACCCAGAATCAATTAGAGAAGACAGAGGGAATTTTTCCAAACACTTTATTAAAAAAAAATTTTTTTTGCAAATAATTTATTTTTTGTTGCAGTAATTGGTGATAGTAGTGTTCTCTGTGAATCATCTGCTCAATGTGGAAAGGGGTCTGATGATTCAGGAAGAATGGGATTGCTTACTGCAATTCATAACAAGCCTCACCTTTCAAACAGAATCTGCAGTGAAGATCAGTATTACAGCTACTCCCTTGTCTAGTTTATGGAATTTTAGAATACATATGTAAACCAAATCAACAGGGGTTTAATCCTTACTAAATCTAGATCGTTAGAAGAAACTGTATGGCAACATCTTCCTTTGGGGCGTACTATAAAATTTTACTTATATTGTCAGATTGCTACTTCTGTTGAAGAGAGCTATAAACAGGTTCTTACTTGTAGGTACCGAAGTATTACCAAGCAGTTTTTCAGAAAAGCTGATGGTGTCGTTGTGATGTATGATATAACAGCAAAAGACACATTCACAGCTGTCAAGCAGTGGCTGATAAGCATTGAGGTAATATGACATAATTTCAAATCTAAACTCTGGTGTCATTCTCTACCTTCTTCTGGACAGGGAGCGTTAGCAGGGCAAAGCACCGAGAGCAGCAGTTTCTTGTGTTGTCACAATTACATTTTTGTTAGTGATTTTGGTCTGCACAGTTACCAGTAAAGCTGTTTTTAGAATCTCTGTTGTCTATGAAAATAATCACAGTTCCAAGGTTTTAAGGACTTAAAATGAGTGGTGAGGAAAGCTCAGCATGGAGTTCTCTGATTTCTCATAAAGGTTATCTAGCCGGTGACTCCCACTGGATCACCACTATCACTGGGAGGTGCTTTGGATCCGTGATGATGGTCTGATGATCACCGATCACCACTAGCAGTTTGACAACCAAGCATGTAGCTCATGGGAAATTGACTGTGTTATGAACATAAGCTATAAACTTAAAGCTATAGTACCTAAATTAGTGCTATAAAACTGTGTCGTGGTAGACAGTTCAGTTTCCTGGGGATCATCCTTTCAAACCACATGAAAACAAAATCATAGCCCATGCCACTGAGTGGCTTTAGTTAATTAAAAATTCTCTTTTTTTCTCTTGGTATATCTCTGTAGCTCCAGACAACATACAGAGAGTGCAAGCAGCTGAATTTGCTTTGGGCAGAATAAAAAATAAAACTAAAATTGAGGCTGCTGCCATAAAGGACTGAGTCGCGAGAGAGAACAAAGTTTTCTTGGGTTTTGATTTGGATTTGAATTACAGGTTTTGATCCGGAAAAATCAAATATTGTGGTCAAAATCTTTTTCCAAGTTGCAATAGTTCACTCATCTTTACTGACTAATTTTGTTTGCTGCAAACTATTGATAAGTTGAAAACATACGGCCAAGTCCATTTACTGCTGCAGCATTCAGCTCACTTTATGAATGTACTCATTGTGGTAATTCTAACTATTTTCAGAAAGAATTTTGATTCATGCCTATTCTATGTATTTTTGGGGCCAATTCTGTGTGTCTCTCCACTACTTTATGTAATCTATTTGGCATAAATGTACCCTGGTGTTGTAATTATTTTCCTGTCAATGTAATTAGAAAAGCAGTGGCTATAAACATGCAATGTCAAAGCCAATGTCAAATGGTAGTTTTCTCTCTCCCATTTTAATATATAGTCTGATAAGCTTCTGTGCTGTTATTAAAAAATGCCAAGTTAGTGCAATCTCTAGCCTTCTGTCTTTTTCATGCCTTTTATCCAACTTGAATTCCTGACATTTGTAAGCAAAGTGGCACATACCTGGCTCGTGATATCTTGATATCTTGTTGCAGTGTGACATTTGTTAGTTTTTATCCTCTTGACCTGTGATTTTTTAAATACAATGCATCTGTTGATATTTATTCTTTGTTCTGCAGGAGACAACTGGGGAGAATGTACCTGTGCTTTTGTTGGGTAATAAAACTGATAATGAAAAGGAACGTGAGGTCCCTATGAGAATGGGAGAGCACCTTGCTAAGGTACTATACTTAGAGGGGAACCCCTTACAAAACTTCAAGGTGAAGGTTTTAAAATGGAGTCTGAATGTGTCTAAATTCATAGGAACACAGATTAATTTTAATCAGACAAGTATTTTTAAGGATTAGGAACCCCACCACACTCATCAGTTCAGCTGTCAGTGATGTAAGTAAGTGCTGATAATTATAGTTATAAAACTGTCTAGGTGAAAAAAACAAAAAGTGATTAGTGCAAAAAATATTTAAAAATTCACTCTCATTGTCTCTCCTCTCTCTCTTTTCCTTTGTTCTCTCTTTCTCTCTATTTTTTCCCTCCCTTCTCTTTTCTCTCTCTTTTTTTCTCTGTTTTCTCTGTGGATGGATTCTTAATGGAGAGATAATCTGGGGACCTTATATCCGTCCTATCTCCTGTAAAACCACAGAAGACCATCTGTTACTCCTATGGTAGGAGAAGAAAATATTTACTTTTACAGAATCACAGAATCATTAAGGTTGGAAAAGAGCTTTAAGATCACGAAGTCCAACCATCAAACCAACACCACCATGCCCACTAAACCATATCCTGAAGTGCCACGTCTACACGTTTTTTGAACACTTCCAGTGATGGTGACTCCACCACCTCCCTGGGCAGCCTGTTCCAATGCTTGACCACTCTCTCCGTAAAGAAATTTTTCCTAATGTCTAGCCTAAACCTCCCCTGGCACAACTTGAGGCCATTTCCTGTCGTCCTACTGCTTGTTACTTGGGAGAAGAGACCAACATCCACCTCACCATAACCCCCTTTCAGGTAGTTTCCATCGAGAAAATGAAATAAGTAAAGTTAACAGTCTGCATCTATCAGAGCACTGATGATCCATGGGCCATACTTTAAGCATTGAGGGACTGCAATTAGCAGATACTTGTTTATATCCCTATGTACCATGCCCATCAATTTTTCTTCTGAATCTCGCTATGCAATGCATAGTTTGAACACCAATGCCTCCAGAATATTCATTTATTTAGAAATAAATCATCCCAATACTCCTGAGAAATTAACTGTGTTGGTAGGAATTTACCTAAATTAAACAATGTGCTGGATGTCACGTATGTACTTGTTTCTCCTTTGAAAATAGATTGACAGCTCCGCTTGCTTGTAACCATAAAAGGTATTTTCAAAATTTGAAATGCAGCTGAATTTTTCTTAGTTTACAGGAAACATCGCTGCTAAGCACCTCTCTATAATGGAAAGAATTAGGGCCAGATCTCTTTTTATCTTATTTTGATAATTCATACAGCCTTTTACAAGCATGCCTCTGTACTCAGGGTTATGTCCGTTATTTTGTTTTTATAGGGGAGCAATATGAGCCTTGAATTTCATCCCTCAAAGGTTCTCACTTTAAGAAATCTGCTTTATTTTCTTGTATGCATGGAAATGCAGATAATTTTGAGGCCCTAAAGGCTAGGAGAGACTCCAGGGTGTAACACTGAATCCTTCTGTGAAAAAACAAATGACACAAATGCTAAATGGACAGAGTAGGTGTCTTACATGTCATTTAGCTCTCTTAAAACATTGTACTAGTAAAACAAAGATGAATCATTATAATATATAGATCTCACAGCCCACCAGACCGTTACTTCTAACGTGTCATGCAAGAAAATAAAATGTTTTGCATAAATAAAACAAAGTAAATTGTCAGATTAAAGATGGTTATAATCAAATGAATGGATCTGAATGACTCACTTGAATGTTTGAATGTACTGCCTTGGGTAGCAAAGGGAAGGAATGATTAATGGCAATGAATTAGTTGAAAAACAGCACAGATATAATTAAATGATAGCGATTTGCTTGCTGAGCTAATAATAACCATGAATTTTAATGAAATGTTATTTCTTGCTAAATAGGCATATAATTCCTATGAAACCACATACCACTGTCTCTATTAGTGAATGCAATTGAGTTACTTCTTTTGTGAATAATCCCATGAACTACACACAAATGACCCAAAAAACACGGGACTAGATGCTGAGATGACAGAAATATGTATAGCCATATTTGGTGAAAACAACCCTGAACTTGTTCTTGTGCAGACAAAGAACCAGATTAGCCTGTTGACCCTGAAGTCCAACAGTTTTTATGACCTGTCTCAAGGTCTCACAGGATGGAAACGTTTTTACCTGGTTTATTCTACAATCAGAGAGGAATGTGTACTTTCAGAGGGCGTTCCAGCCCAGCTGTATTAACTCTTGCTTTGCTTCAGTCACACATCTTACAAGTCAGTGTACTACAAATTCAGTCAGAAACCCAAGAGCTCCCTTTATAATGCACTTGTCACATAACTTTTTTGCAAGGCAGGCAGCACAGTTCATTATTAAAAGGAAGAACGGCAGATTGAAAGGAGTCCTTTCAATTCGTTGTCATTTGAGAAGACTGGTTAGTTGCAGTGATACCCTGGGAAAGGGGGAATCGAATGAAGATAAGGATTCAGGAAGCCATCATAGGGAACAAGAAGGCTATGATGAAGCTGATCCGTAGTTGCATGAATTAAAGAGTAAACTTCATGATGGTAAGGAGAATTTTGCAGTATTGACTTTACAGGGAAAAATAGCAGATACAAACCAAACTGTTCACATGCAGTACAAGAATGACCTGATGGAAAACATCTAAAACTCTCTTGATAGAGCTACTGGGAGTATAAAGAAAAATTGAAGAAGCGAAGTGAAGCGAAAAAAGGGGAGAGGGAGAGGAAGAGAGGGAGAAAGAGAGAAGAGAGTCGAGTCGAGTCGAGTTGTGTCGTGTCGTGGTTTAGCCCCAGCTGGCAACTAAGCCCCACACAGCCACTTGTTCACTTCCCCCTCCCACAGTAGGATGGGGTAGAGAATTGGGAAAAAAACTCGTGGTTTGAGATAAAAACAGTTTAATAGGACAGCAGGAGAGAAAGAAACAACAATGATAACAACAATAATAATACCGACAAAGGAATGTACAAGAACGAGTGATGCCCAATACAACAATTGCTCACCACCCGGCAATCGATAGCCTGTCCCCGAGCAGCGATTCCCACCCCCCGGCTAATTCCAGTTTATGTACTGGGCATGACGTTGTATGGTAGGGAATATCTCTTTGGCCAGCCTGGGTCAGCTGTCCTGGCTGTGTCCCCTCCCAGCTTCCTGTGCACCCCCAGCCTTCTTGCTAGCAGGCCAGCAAGAGAAGCTGGACTGTCCTTGACTACTTAGCAACAACTCAAAACATCAGCACATTATCAACAGTTTCTCATCCCAAATCGAAGACATAGCCTCACACTAGCTTCTGTGAAGAAAAACATCTCTATCCTGGCTGAAACCAGGACAGCAAGGCAAGGCAGGGCAAGGGCAAGGGCAAGGGCAAGGCAAGGCAAGGCAAGGACAAGGGCAACGGCAAAAGGCAAAGGCAAAGGCAAAGGCAAAGGCAAGGGAAGGCAAGGGCAAGGCAAAGCAAGGGCAAGGGCAAGGGCAAGGCAATGCAAGGGCAAGGTAAGGGCAAGGCAAAGCAAGGCAAGGTAAAGGCAAGGGCAAGGCAAGGGCAAGGGCAAGGCAAGGCAAGGCAATGCAAGGGCAAAGTAAGGGCAAGGCAAAGCAAGGCAAGGGCAAGGCAAGGGCAAGGCAATGCAAGGCAAGGCAAGAAGTCTGTTTGACTTTTTTAGCAGAGGATCCAGAAGGAAAACTCCCTTTAACAAATTTTTGTTTAGTTAGCTTGATCCACTGATCAAAAGTTCATATGAGCACAACAACAATACAGAGAGTATTCAGATCATATTTTGAGCTTCCAACAGCCAATGTTCTATTTGAGCGGATTAGTGTAACCACTGCCAGTTGCTTAAATGGCTTATGATACAGGTGCTGCTCTGGCATTCAGGCAGCATGATTTTATTTTGGCCCTGCACAGAATTGCACAGAATTGCCTTGGACAGGCTGAGGTCAATTGTATGAGGTTTAATGAGGTCAAGTGCCGGGTCCTGCACTTGGGTCACAACAACCCCATGCAATGCTACAGGCTTGGGGAGGAGTGGCTGGAGAGCTGCCCAGTGGAAAAGGACCTGGGGGTGCTGGTTGACAGCTGGCTGAACATGAGCCAGCAGTGTGCCCAGGTGGCCAAGAAGGCCAACAGCGTCCTGGCCTGTATCAGACATAGTGTGGCCAGCAGGAGTAGGGAAGTGATTGTGCCCCTGTACTTGGCACTGATGAGGCCACACCTCGAATCCTGTGTTCAGTTTTGGGCCCCTCCCTACAAGAAGAACTATGACTTCCTGGAGCGTGTCCAGAGAAGGGCAATGAAGCTGGTGAGGGGTCTGGAGCACAAGTCTTACGAGGAGCAGCTGAGGGAACTGGGGTTGTTTAATCTGGAGAAGAGGAGGCTGAGGGGAGACTTTATTGCTCTCTACAACTATCTGAAATGGGGTTGTGGTGAGGTGACTGATGGTCTCTTCTCCCAAGTAACCAGTGATAGAATGAGAGGAAATGGCCTCAAGTTGCACCAAGGGAGGTTTAGACTAGATAATAGGACAAATTTCTTTATTGAGCGTGGTCAAACATTGGAACAGGCTGCCCAGGTAAGTGGTGGAGTCACCATCACTGGAGGTATTCAAAAAAGTGTGGATGTGGCACTTCAGGACATGGTTTAGTGGGCATGGTGGTGTTGGGTTGATGGTTGGACTTGATGATCCTAAAGGTCTTTTCCAACCTTAATGATTCTGTGATTCTGTGAATTCCTGAATAATCTTAAATGGGTCAATAAATCTTTCTCTATCTCTGTTCCTCAACTACAAAATAAGATAATGCTTTTGTCTGCCTTGACTTTGCAGACTATGTATGCTTCGTGGGATGAGGATTGTTACCATGTATTCAATCCTGATGTTCATTAGAACACACCACATAACCATTGACAACATATTCAAAACTGCCATTTGATAAGCATTTTTTAGAACTGCTATACTAAACTACCATATTTATGAAACTTCTTTTCCCCACTTTTTGTCTGTGAAATTTCATGAAGATGATGAAAATTTCAAAAAGGTGGGCAATTTTGTAAACATGGTACATTAAAAAAAAAAAAACAAACAAAGAACAAACTAAAACTGAAATACCTGGTCATTTTAATGGGAACTTTTGAAAACTGAATTGTAAATGTCTTATGAAGGGTGGTTAAATAAGGACAAATGCAGTAACCACAGTTAATAGCAAACAAATGAAAAGATGCAGACATGTGATTGCCATTTCCTAAGCTCCTAACTTCTTTTTTTGAATTTTAAGCTACTATCTTAAATAGCAATAAGACACATAGAAAAGAGAATAGAAAGTTGAAATCCGGATGGCTAAAAGGGCATGTAGTAATACCATCGAGGCAATGTAGGTAAGGTTCAGTGTAACATCTTGTGAAAGTAGTCAGATATCTGTTTTGGAGAAGATAATCTGTCATTCCCTCTCAAACTTCTCTTGCCATCACAGCTGCCAGGTCCGGCTTTTGTGCCGATGATCTCTTGCATTTGCCTTTATTGTAATAAGGCTTCAGCTAAAGTGCTGAGAATGTCTCCGGGGCGTAATCATTTATCCATTGTTCTTAATTGCAAAGCTCCCAGGGGCTACAAAACTAGAGGTGCAGGATGACTGCAAAAGAAGGTGCAGAAAAAATTCACAAGTACAAAAAATGAAATAGAATTCATTTGTTGCTCTTTTTTACTGAGGTTTTTAATGAGTCATTTGCAGTGGTCTCAAACTGTTGAATACAGAAACACTGCTGCTGAAGCTTTCCACGATTAAAAAAAAAAAAGTCACTGGAATTATTTTCACCTGTTTTGTCAAGAACTCAGTGATGTACTAATTGCCTCATTATTACAAGCAAAGTTCACAAGACTTTATTACCTTACAAGGCATATTTTCATTTGACCCTTTGAGAGATCAAGCTCTTACAGCAAAAGGCACTGTATAGAACAGATATCTGCTAAGAAATGCAGATAGTTGTTGTCTGGGAGGCACACTTGGACTTACTTTCTTTTGTTAGTGTTTACTGTTAGCTCTAGAGTTAAATCCTAATTTTTCCTAAAGTGATCTATTTCTATTTCTTTATTTGCTTATTTCAGTATATCTGTGTTGTTTTTTTAAAGCTGGAGTGAGATATTGTGCAAAATTAATTGAAATGGTCTTTCTGTTTAATTCTAGGATTACAATTTAATTTTCTATGAATGCAGTGCATATTCTGGGTACAATACCAAAAAGTCTGTTCTTCATTTAGCTAGGTAAGAAGAAAACACAATCTATGAGTTCTATATGTGCCTGACATCCCTGCCACTGGTGACAGAGTGAATTCTGTTTGTTAAATTAGTTTGATAGGAACTTACAGTGATGAAATATTTGTTCCTTTTAAACTGGTCTGTAGCCTGACCTGTTCCTCCAACTAAGCAGTTGCTCAGGTTCGTAGATTCCTGTGTAAACTAGTGAAGCTCTATATAGAAACAGAAATACCAGAATTGTTGCTAGGAAAGCTGAGGGCCTGAGGAAAGCTGAGGGCCTGGGATGTTGTGATAGTTCTTGCAGGACATTCTTGGAGGTTTGGAGAAGTACGCTTGGAAATGGATGCTGATGAGTCCTTGCAGGAGAACACTGGATGTGCTGCTTTCTTCCCTCTGCTTGTTATAGCTCAGATTCTGCTTTCTGCCTGGGGACTGAGAGAGAGGGAGAGGTGGATTTTTGAAGTTATATAAATGCTAGGGGTAAAAATACAGCTAAATCTGTCCCCTCTGAACTACTTACAGAGGTGAAACACTGGTAATGAATTGGCAGATCTTTAATATTATTGCTGAAGTTAGTGACATTTTGTGAGTGTGTCGGGCAATTGATAAATGTCTAGGTAGCCAGATGTGGGTTTGTTTTGCTCCAGCCTCAAAAATAACAACTGAAAGTTGCTGTTTTGAGTATCTGTAGTATACAACAAATGGTAACAATTAGCACCGACTACATTTTTCTAAAGGTTGTTTTGTGATGTTATGGAGCCACCATAATTGTACTTGCTTGTTTGTTTGTTCATAAAATCCTGTCATTTTCTGTTAATCTCTGGACAATTTTATAGGCGTGGGGGGAAATGTTTTTTGTTTTGATCTTTTATGGGTGTTACTGACTTTTTTATTGAAAATACTGTTTCTTTCTCCCAGGATTTTAAAGGAACATGATGATAAAGTGAAAGAGAAAACCATTGAACTTCAACCTGATATGAATAAAAAGTCTTGCTGTATCAGGCCATAAAATGCTGGGGCATGTTTAGACAAGTCATATATTTATACGACACTACATGGCACCATCAGATTTGCTTTATCCTCCAAATATTTTTGCTGTGTTCTGAGTGTAGGTGTGAGTGAACCTTAAAATACTTATACGCTCTGATCTTCACTTTTACAAATATTGTCTTTAGTTAATTGACAATGTATTTGAGGCAGTAAGTCTTTTATTCTTTTTGATGCCTAACACGACTGAATCCTGCTTTGTGATCAGGCTTGTAGAAGCTGCCACATTATTAATAATAAAAAATAATTTTATAGGAAGAAAACTACTTGGAATGTGAAGTAAATTCTTACTGGTGTGACTGACCTATCTTCTGAATACTTCTGTTTATTTCAGTGCTCTTTAGATCCTGATTTTGTGCTGACCTTTGTTACAGTTTTTTAAAAATTGAAATAGGTAGCTAGTTGGTTGTTTAAAAGCAACACACCAGCAGTTGAGAAGTATAAGGTGGTATTTTAAAGCTTAGTGTGAAATAAACATGAACTATGATGATATTCAGAAGTAGCATTAACTCATTCATACTACACATTGTTTCATGTAAGTCCGTGATAGGAAACTTTTCCTCCCACTTAGATGTGATGAATTAGGTATGTTTAGACAGGTCACTGAGGTACCTTACAGGCTTGCCTGAGCTGTTGCCAAATAATCTGGCATGTTTCCATGGTGAGGTGGTACTGTGCAAGTATCTAGCTTAGTTTCCAGAAACAGTAGTCATGGTAGTGTAGTGCTTTACTCTGGCTAGTTAGTATTGCACTCGGAGCAAATCAGCCTGTGCTCTTCACCATATTTGACATGGCTGTGTTGCTTTGTGTTGCAGAGCTTGCTCTGAACCTCTGTTTGGCTATGGTGTCCTATAGAAGTCCAAAAGCAATCTGTGGCCAACTTGAACATTCAAATCAATTCACTGGCATTAGTGTTGGTGAAAGACACATACCTACAGAGGAACCTCATTTCACTGGTGTAGTTGGTTGTAGTACAAAGAATATTAAGGCCAACTGAACAGCTTTTTGTCTCCAAAAGTCTGTCACAGAAGCTTTCATGCCAGATGTTGGAGACAGAATTTTCAGAAATAGTAGATCATCTTTTAAGGAAGATTTCGAGAAACTTTCCAGCATTTAATGAGTGAAAAATCTCACCAAAATCCAGGGAGATACTGCTCTCTTTAGTAATGTTAAGAAAAAATTCTTCCTTGTATACCTAAATATGTGACTGATTTTTCAAAAGCATCTGCCAAACAGTGTTTCCTGTTGGTTTAACTGGGGCCTGATAGCACTGAGATACAGTGTTTGAGAAATCAAACAAATAGGGTCATATTTTAGAAAATGATGGCCCACCCAGATCATAGGAAATCCAAATGTCATAATTAGTTTTGGAAGCCTTTGTAGAATATAAATGAAAATAAGAAACTTGAGAGTGGGTCACCCAGCCAGCACATGATCAACAATTATTCCTGTTGGTGTTTGTCTTCACTGCATCCAGCTATCGTGGTAAACATTCAAGAATGATTATTCATGATGGTGAGCTTGTTGGGAAAGTGGAACCCATGACATAGTTTATTTCATTAAAATATCAAGCAAAACTGTAAATTTTATTATATGAGACTATGACAGACATTAAGTTTTCAATTGATTTCTAAATGTTTCAAGAGAGTTATTTTTCATTTGAATAATGAATCAATTTGAAACTAAAGATGAAAGTTAAGCACTAGCTCAATAACTAACTCTATGTTGGGATAAAAACTTTGTCAGTAATTAATTGTGCTCTTGGAATTTTGGTCTGATCAAAGGTATTTATGTAGTGCCAAGAACTTTACAATAGAAGTTTGCAAACTTTCCCCTATAGCAATTCCTATATCCATACCAGCACTCAAATGCCCTTTCCTATGAGTTGGGATCCAGTCATGACACCTTTCCCTATCAAGTAGAATGGCGATGTTTTTCCTTCTGTCAGGAATGATGGATGGACCAAGTAGCCCAGGATAAGCTGATGCTTAGGGGTTTTTCCCCTGCTGATTCCCGAGAGTGTGCTCATCCAAATGAAGAAACTTCCCTTGCTTCTAGTGAAGTGCTTAAGAACCCCTAGAGCCCAAAAGGAGCAAAATGAGCATCCATTAATGAAAATCAGTAGGCTTTCTGTTCAATTCCCAGGGTTACTTCTTGAAGTCCATTACTGGTTGTGGAAGGATGAGTCACCTTATTGCCTGTTATATGTTATGCATCATAAGCATATCATAAGCACCAAAGCTCAGGAAGTATGGGTTGGATGAGTGGACTGTGAGGTGGATCGAGAACTGGCTAAGCAACAGAACTCAAAGGGTTGTGGTCAGCGGCACAGAGTCTGATTGGAGGTCTGTAGCTAGTGGTATTCCCCAGGGATCAGTACTGGGTCTGGTTTTGTTCAGTATCTTCATCAGTGACCTAGATGAAGGGTTGGAATGTACCCTCAGCAGGTTTGCTGATGATACAAAACTGGGAGGAGTGGCTGATACACCAGAAGGCTGTGCTGCCATTCAATGGGATCTGGACAGACTGGAGAGTTGGGTGGAGGGGAACCTCATGAAATTTAACAAGGACAAGTGTAGAGTTCTGCACCTGGGGAGGAACAATCCCATGCGTCAGTACAGGTTAGTTGTTGACCTGCTGGAAACTGGCTACTGCTGTTCCTTTTTGCAAGTACAGCCAAAACCCATTCTACCAGTACCTAGGTCACCTTGGCTTTACATAGTATTATTGATATAGTTACTTAGGTGCTGCTGGCCTTGCAAGTTTCCACTCCCAAAAAAGTCCCTACTATTCCCTTCCAGTTTTCTGTGACGTTAGTCATGAATTTATTGTATAACTCCCCATTAAGCACCTGTGAAGTCCAGCCATTGCTCACAGTACTATCTGTAACTATTATCAGCTTCTCACTCTGTTATTTGTTATGCTCAGAGTTTCTCTTGTCATGTCCAGAGTTTCTCATGGTCTGTTTGGTTGGCTAAACCTCAGGCCAGGACCTAGTCATCTGTCTGCACACCTTAACAAACAGCAATTATTTGTTGGTTAATGCTCGCAGAAGATAGGTATAACTAACATGCTGCAAGGCCCTACTTCTGGACTTAATCTACTGGCCAGCTGTTCATCAAACTGGTGTGGAAATTGTCAGCTTCCAGTGTTCCTTGATCCCAGCTGATCCTTTGTGTTGCTGGGTTGCCTGCTTCTGACTCTCCACTAGGGTTTTATACCTCCTGTCAGTATTTTTCTCAGATCCATGAGAAAGCTAATACTGGCGTAATAGCAATGAAGCTTTCTTTTTATTTTATTCTGCCCCTCCCCCCCAGTTTTGAATTTGCTTTAGCTTGTTCACAGGTCCCCAAAAGCTTTTTGGTAAAGATAAGCCAAAATCATGATGTAGCTGTGCATCATGAAACTGGACTTTGGGTCATGAACTCTTCTCTTACGGGTTTCATAGAGATTTTTGGAGATGTAGATGATATCTGTCTACTGAAAGATAAATTAATCAAAAGGTAGTAGGCAGGAGAATACTGAGCAAAAGAGTGTTATTTCACCTATTCCTATTATGCTTTGAGAGCACAAAAACATCTTTATTTAGAAGTGACTGAAATGCAGATACAGAAATCTTTGAGTACAAGTACCTACAATGCTACAGAACATTTTAGCTACAGAAGGTTGTTTTGTTTCTTCTGTCAGACTCTTCCTCATATATATTACTCTAGAAAATTTCCCTCACTAGAATGAAAAGTACCAACAACAGTGAATGAGAAATTCTGCTGAAAAATTGCTTCTTACACTCAGCAGGCTTCATCCTTCTCTCAAGTTCACTGATGTAACTCCTTGACTCAGTAATGTTTCTTCTTACGCCACCCTATATACAGTAAATCAAGCAGTGTGTGCCCATGTAAACTCTTTGAGAGGATCGGCTGGTAGGAGAAAGTGGCAGAAATTAATCTTCTCAGCCTGGTCAGGTACCCAATACTAAAAGATCTTTGGGTATCACACACACTACAAAGATCATTTGCATGGGTATAAGACAATGCTCCTAGCCCTTTGGAATGGGCATATTTTATGGGCTGTAAATAGCAGTGGGCTGAAGTTGTGACCTGCATGGGGGACATAATGAACTACTGTATGCCAGTCAAAACTGGTTTCAGCCTGCCCAGGTGCAAGCCAAGCAACAGCAGAAAAAGCACATCACACACTATAACCTTACTCAGAGAGGTGTACAGCACCTCCCCACATAACATATTCAAGGAGTAATCTGCAGCTGTTGAGGTGGGGACACTCCACACACAAGGAATGTGTGAGGAACAGACCACGTTGAAGAAAGTTTGCTCCTGAAAGAACTGCAGACAGTGGTCATTCACCATGCTGGAGCAGAGACAACTAAGGAACAGGACAACTGGAAGCACTGGGCACTGAGTGACATAACACTTGGGATGGCAGAAAGCATTATGCACGCTGCCTCAACTTTCTGTGCTGCCTGTTGGCTCACTGGATGAATTCTGACAATGAGAGTGTACCTCACAGTGAAAATAAAGCTGAGACTCAGGGGAAGAGGGGAGAAAAAAAAGTACATTGTTATTTTTGTCTAATTGTTTGTATTCTTTTTGTCTCCCCAGTACCTGAATCAGCAATAAAAGATTTATGTTGGTTGGTAGTAAATTAGCTCTGGTACAATTCCCCAACTTGACTGTTTTTGTTTGCAACATCTGTATATTGGCAGTATTTTCTACCATGTGAGAACATTATTGAATAAATCCACTTCATCATCTGTACAAGTGGAAGCTTGTTTTAGAAAGCAGAAACATGCCCATAAAGCTCATCTGTAGCAGCTTCTGGAATTCATCCACAGCTATTGAAAAGATGCGTCTTTATTTTATTATTGAAATGACAGGAATTGCAATAGCACTCACATACACTCCTGAAAAAAAATAGAAAGATGGGCACTTTGACCTGTTTACTGAA